CCTCTGCCTGGAATTGAATTCAGGTCTCTCGCTTGCAAAGCGAGTGCTCTAACCACTGAGCTACAGGACTCCACAAGTTTAAGCCTCATATCAGGACAATGAGCTAATATTCTAGGCTTAATTCCCATTGGGACGTCCTCCCGACGTGAAAAGCGCTATATCAAATGCAAGAATTATTATTATTATTATTGCTGTACTCAGGTAGATATTAAACTGAGATCCTATTTGTTTCAGATGAGTGTTAAAGATCCCATGATACTATTTGAAAAGTTAAGTTTCTTACATCATCCTAGCCAACAATCCTCCACATAAATTCACCTTTCAACAACTATGGCTGATTGTGTGATCTGCTGTGTGCAAATTGGTTGCCCAGTTTTCAACAGTCACTACACTTTACAGCAATTTCACACAAAGCTCTTTGAGACATTTCGACTTTATATGCGGTCTATTTATAGATTGTAGAAAGAAAAGAAACTTATATACAAAGGGAGATGCTTTCATTCATGCTTTCAGTGATTTCTTTAGCGAAAATGTTGAATTTGTTGTTATTGTATTATTTCTTTAAACACAATGCAAAGACCAATCACAAAATGTTACATAGTATTACATAGAATCATAGAATGATGTAGCACAGAATCAGGCCATTCAGCCCAATTAGTCCATGCTGGGTGCTAAATTGATGGCCGTTTAAATGTTAAGATGGAAAATGGTATTTGAAATATATTGATAATTGTCGGAACATCCTAAAATGATGATATTTTGCTGAATTGTTAAATCAAATGCTGATATCATTCTGGAAGAGCTGAAGCTTGCGAAGAGTGCCACCTGCTGATAGTATCCTGTCAAGCAGTCATGTGCCTCAAAGAAGCAGAAAAACCACATTATTATACACAAACAGTGCTTTTGATGACATGCTGACAGCTTTTAGCTGGTTAAACTCCAGCAAACCCCAATGCATTGGCTTTTTCTACACTGCACCTAATACTCTCCAGAATTAGATAAGAAGGTGAATCCCTCCAGTAAGAAAGTCTGTATTTCTTTCTAGACACACAGAAGATTTCCATGTTTCGCTGCCATGCATATGTGGAACTCAGTCTGGTTTGAATACTCTTAAGCACAGTGATGGATTTCCATATGTGGCAGATACTAAGCGGACCACATAAAAATCTGACTGGAACTGCAAGTTCAGCCTAGAGTATCACCTCTCATGTGTAGGAAACAATTATAGGGTGAGATCACAGGAGAGAGGCAAGGCAAAAGAACATATGGTCGTTCCCTGACACGAGTTATCTTAATAAAAAAGGACGGATTGGGGAATTTTAAAACTTGTCTGGGGATAGGATCTAGACAGCGTTGAAAGAGTTTACAGAACATACCAATAAGAAACTTCAGGAAAATATCTGATAATTGACGAAGACCAAAGACCAACCAAATTAAACCTTGACTGATCCCACAAATAATGTCACTGTCACAACCTTTTTGTCATAAGTGTTACAAATTCCTACAAGAAATAACCGAAGAGAGAAAAATAAGGTTCACAATTTTCAAATTTTACGACTAACCCAAAGTCTGGTAATATCCCAGAAATTACTTCATGGTTGAATAAGTCAAAATACTGTATCTACACAAGGGTCGTGTGGTTTAAAGCAATGTTTGAGAGAGCATAGTGAAGGACAAATGAAATGCACCACCATTTGATTTTTATTGGAATGTAAATTGAGTGCACTGAATGACACCCATTTTTCTAAGTGGCCACTTTCCATCTCTTTCCCCATATCTCTTAATGTTTGTTTTGCTAATGTAGTGCGTCACAGAATGTTACAAAATTTGTTTTTTGATTGAACAAAAGGCACTTAAATTGCAGTAGTTTCTGATACATTCAAGTTTGTATTTTCTCCAACAGAGTGTGTCAATTGGGAAAGTAAATTGATATTTCAAAGAGACTGGCGATGTGGAAAATTAAATGTTACTTTGGTACTCTTCTGGGACTGGGGTTAACAGACACCTGCTGGGCATCTAATGCTAGAACTGAATTGGAAATGGTTGACACTGACTTTGACAAGGCAGGCATGTTTTGACAGTTGTTCTGGGTAAACCCAGAATGCTGTAGACCACTAGATCATCAAGCCAGCTGGTACATCACAAGTAAAGGTAAAGGTCCTGTAAAGGTCTTCCTACCACATTGAAGGTAGATGTCCATCAGTTAGTTGATGAGGCAACTCTGAGGGTTGCGATGACAGCTGCTGGAAGTTATTACCTGAAGTCTGAGTTTGTGAACATACATTTATACATCCAGCGCTTGATTGGAAATGCAGAGAGGTAAGAATCTGCTGCTTAAGCTCTGTACCTCCAACTTGTGGAATCGTTGCTCATTGGAAAGGATGTGTGTCCCAGCTGCAGGCAGCGGCTGGTGGCAATGCTCTCACACGTTTGATTTTATATCCATTAATATAAAATATGAACATCAATTAATGAGAATAAACTATATGGAGTTCTGTAGCTCAGTAGTTAGAGCACTTGCCTCGCAAGCGAGAGACCTGGGTTCGTTTCCCGGAAGGGCAAAACCTTGGGCAAGTTTCCTTACTCCACACACCTAATAATAATCCCTCAAGAAAAAAAAACAATAATAATTTGGTCACTCAATCCAGGACTGTTTATGGGACACTGTTGTGTGCAATTGGCTGCCGCGTTTTGCCCACAAACATACGGTCAATTCACTTTACAGTATATTCTGTGCAGTGCTTTGAGACGTCTAGAAGACGTGAAAAGCACTATATCAAATGCAAGGATTATTATTATCTATGGCATAATAATATTGTCCCTTAAAATGAAATATTATTGCCCCTTAAAATAGATGGATTTCTTAAAATTCACAAATCACAAAGATCTTCAAAAATATTGAAACGTTTAGGGAAACAATAGATGGTATAACAAGATTTAACCAGCAGGGAGCAGCAATATACTCTACGGATAACACCAGGAAAAGAACACACCACTTCTAAAACCTAGGAGGAGTGCTCAAGCAGAGAGCAAACCTGACAAATGTCACTGATTAAAAGTGTCACACAATCAATAACTACTTTCAAGTAAATTATTCATCTTTATAGATATATATATATGTAGAGAGAGAGAGTTCTGCTGTTCACAAGCTGTGTCTAACATTAGAAAGCAAAGGCAAGCTTGATATCTAGCAGGACTGCTCCACCTAGTTTGGCTTTGATTTACAGCATTCAGGACACTATCATGTCAATGTCCAATGGTAATAATTTATAATCCCTCCAACCTCTATTTCTTTCTAGCTGTTGACAGCTACAGTAAAACCTGGAATCACTTTACATCCTTTTGTGCTATTAGTACCATCTGAATGTGTGCAGGCAAGAGAAGAGTCACATTTTTCTGAAATGGATCAGCTCTGCACATTCAGATTGTCCCTATTATTTCTGCAAGTGTACTGATCCAACCTGGTCAATATGGATCACATTCAGTTAGAAACCTATCCCTCTCTATGGGGAATGGGCAGGGTAAGCAGTTGCTGCTGAAGAAAACTATGTTGAATCTGTGGTTGATATAATTAGCGACCTTGCTGGTGTGGAATTCAAGTGGTCTGAGATGCTACCTTGTGTGAGGGGCACTATATAAATGCAGGTTGTTGGAATAAGGGTATCCAATTATAAGTGAACACTATCAGGGTCAGTAACTTTATGACCATTGGGAATATGCTCCTTTAAGTATAAGCAGCATTGGCTATAGCTTCCTTAATCCTGGGGAATCCATACAAAACAGCTTTAAATGTGGTCCAATGCATCTATGCACATTCTTGCCAACACAGAAACTACATAACGCATATCCCTCTTGTCACGCGGACCAAATTATAGAACGTATGGCTGCAGTACTGTTTGTCATGATATTTTATTCTATTAAATACATTTTTTTATTTGTTTGAAAGATGACTGCAGTTTTCTCTAGGGTAAATAAAACCATTAACTTTGTGAGTCACAACACGATCCAAATATCAGATCTATCATTTGCTTTGGCTAAAACTGTTAATGGTAGTCCATCTGCTTTTCCATTACACAGAGCAGTAATAGTAATCAAGTGGGTAAATTACTTTGGGTCTGTTTACATAATTATTGTGTTAACAGTATTAAGATTGAAGGTTATCAAACCGAATTAGACTTGAAATTTTTTTCCGCTTGCTAATGATTGAAGAAAAAAAAAGTATCATATTGACTTATCTTGTTTCCCTGAATGTCAGTGATCTACACTCAAAGCTCTGGACCTTTTATTGAGTTGTAATGCTGTGTTTGTACGATTAACAGAGAAGCTGCTTCACTCCCAGCAGTGGAGTGTAGAGTGAACCCTGATATTTTACCTCCTGTTCTGAATCAGGGCTATGAAAAAACAACCATGCAACATCTATGCAGAATACCAACGTGTTTTACTATTGCTGAAGTGGTAGTTGCATGATCAGCCTTTACCAACATTAAAAAGAAGTTCTTGTTGAAAGTAAGACCCCAGAAGTTCAATGCACCATCTGGGAACTTTCTGCAATCAAATGGAGAAGTCAGCCCAGGGTGAATCACGCCAGTTGTATTTGTACTGTTGGCAAGCACAAATTCCCTCTTCCTGAGACTAACTCCTCCAATGTCAGATCCGGGTTCATTGTGACTTAATATGTACTGTATCTTTGGAACTACATCAATTTGCCAGCACACTCGCAGTATAAACAGGGTATCACTGAAAATAAGCAAGTTGACCTACCGTATAAATTGGAATGATTTTCCCAAGCTATCCTGCCAAGTAGCTTGGATGGATGCACAATCATTAGTGCTTGCAGAGTTGAAATAAACACAATATCGATCACTCACAAATAAATCTTGCAGCCATCTCACACGGTGGACACCGCACAAGATGAAAGGAAAAAAATCTTTCTTTTTGCCAAAAGAAAATATAAAATATAAAATTTTATCGGTGCTTCACTCACACTGGAGCGTTCTTACCTCCAGTCTGGTTCTGTCCACATCTTTTGGAAGTTTGACACGAGCTTTCAAAGTAACAGCTAACATTTCATAAGGATAAACCTGCAACAAATAAAAGAACCTTAACGGTTGGATACATTTGATTAGTCTCCACATCCTTCATTTTGGACAATAAGGTTTGGATTACAGTTATTTTCTGTCATCTTCAACCCATTTCTTCTTTTATTCCTAGGAATTCTACTGGGGGAGTCTTGGAGTGTTGGCTTATTGGCCTTCAATGACAGTGTAGAATTGTTTAAAAAAGTAAGGGAGCTGTTTACTGTTCACATCTGTCTATCGCAACTATTTATCAGGTTAGGGCAGCTTCCCTTCCCCCAGATTGTCTCCCCTTATTGCTCCCTTTGAGGCTGAATTATAACCAAACCATTAGTTTTTCAACCAAATATGACACAGGCTTGCTCTAAGTGGTCATTCTCAGCTGTTCCATTCAGGGGAAGACAATGAGCAGAAATTTAGAGCATTGAAAAGAAGTGGTTCACTCCAGATCAGAGGCATTCAAGCCTGTCCATGACAGGAAATCCACATTTAACACAATTACCAGGTACAGCATGCTTTTGCATTAAATATCAATATCATGCATGCATGCTCTACATTTAGTAGTCTTTGTACATAAATGAAATGCCCTCACCGTTCAACACAGAAAAAAGAACACAAAGGAAATAAGACAGAAATGTTAACCTGCTCAGGTGCGCAATGGTAGGACTCAAGTTTATTAACCTGAGTCACGTCCTTCTTACCTTGTATTCTGCAAAGAGGAAGGAAAAGAGAGTATTGAATTTCAGTGATATTGTAAGACTTCTTTTAAAACAACAAACAAATTACTCAAAAGATTAGTTATGAGTAAATTTGCACATTACTGTGCTGGCAAAAGTGCTAAAAATGGTTCCTCACCTCGCATTCCCCAACTGGTATCGTGATCTGACTCGTAGTGGGGAAAATCTGCCTAGTGGAGAGGGAACACTAGAATAAATGTCTGAGAAACATTTACTGACACCACAAACTACATTATGGGGTGGGTGAATTCAGGCACTGTTCACGAGATGAGGCATAATTACAAGTGTACGAGGAGAACTTCTCTACAGCGAGCCAATGATGACTCCTCCGCCCCATAAGTGGCTTCTTATTATACCTGCAAAGTTCCATTTTTTACTATGTTTATTGTACTTCATTATATATTCAAGTCAGTTTCTAGGAACCAAAGTTCAGCATTCACCTCTGGATACAGAGAGGTACCAGCCTTTACATGTGGTGTATGTGCTGCGGTCTTCAGTCACTGAAACCAAGAAGGTCTGACATTCAATCCCTGGTTTGTGTTGAGTTACTTGATTCAGTCGGGACTTTGCTCGTGGAACAGAACGGGGTTTATAAGGAACATCAATAAGCAGGATTGTGGTCCTGACACAGTAATCTTTCCCCCGACTTTGGACACAGTGCTCTCAGAACTGTTGTCTACTCTCAGTTGTGCAGAGCTATATGATAACACAGAATTGTCACTGACTTGAGACCCATTTGGCTTTATCTCTACTCTTCCCATACAATTCACCGTTGGTGGAAGACATCAGTTTAAGTTGTCCACTTGAAGGAACACAACAACAGTGTCTGTTGAATCACGAGTGTCCATAAGCAACCTCCAAGAATAGTTGATATGTGTCCTACTATGCATATATATCTTTTCACTCTAGACCGCATCCACTTGGATGTAAAATGACATGGAGTTATATAATATTAAAGAGCAAGAAAAGTAGGCGACTATATCCAGTCTTTGCAGAAGATTTATGCACCAGGCTTAAGTAACCAATTCAAAGCATAATCATCTCTTTCTGGACAAGCACTTCCATCAATGCTCCTCAACCAGTCAGTTGATAAAGATGTTCTTCCTATTTCATTCGCTCCACACTCTCTATATGGGATACATACTGTTGTTACCTAATAGTATGGAAATGGCAAGTTTCTTCCTGAAAACCGGCAAAGAACAGCCATAAAGAATCTTTCTGTTTACTGGGCTTTTGTTCATGCTGAAACTGGGAGAGAGAGAAATGTGTTTCCTCCCCAACAAAGATCATTTAATTCTCATAATACTCAGCTTTCAGCTTTGGATCCTGGCTTAATTTCTCGAGTATGTGAACAATTCTTGCCAGCAGGGGATTGCAGAATACTCTATAGATACCATGGTATTTATTTTAAGTAGCATCATTTCCACTGGTTTGCAGCAGGTTTATTGTATCTCATTTCAATAAATAAAAGCAGCGATCTCCCAGAGCCAAACACAGTGTCCTATGGGATAAAACTACTACAGTTTGTAATTTTGTTAAAAAAATGTCAAACATCAAACATCTTCCAGACTGTGATATTGGTCCTACATACTGTACTAGTGCCTTAGGATGTCCTCCTGATATGATTTAAATGTGTGCAACCTTTAAAAGTGTACATTTGTTGTTGTATGTACATGATTTACTATATATTCCCACTGACAATATAGTTAATGGACACTGTATTAATAGGAACTAGACTGTTTTCTTTGCAAAAGGCTACTGCTGTACAGTGATCTCCAAATTGGAAAGGTGTAGAGTTTGTCCGTATTAAAACAAAGCACTGAACTTCCAGGGGGTTTCATTCAGTGCTTATGCAAATCAATTAATATTCTAGTCATTTGAGGGTAATAATTTACGCTATATTTTATTTTTAAATGTAAATCTCCTTTACCTTGTGTAATCCATTTTTTCCATAACCGGGAAGGGAAGCGGATTTGGAGTGAGGGATTCCTGTAACAAAGCAAGCTTGATTTAGTCAACCAGGGCACCACTACTTGCTTTAATTTAGATCTCAAGAGGTTAAACCCCATTTCATGAGATTTGTGCGCAATTGGCTACCTTGTTTCTCCCATAAAACACAGTCATTATACTTTACAGTATATTCTGTGAAGCGCTTTGAGACGTCTCAAAGACGTGTTAATGCGCTGTATCAAATGCAAGGATTATTATTATTTAGATGGGCAAAGGAGTAACTTGTTTGCCCTCCATTAGATATACTTAATAAAATCTTTTGCCTGTGAAAGTACTAAAGGGGATTAAATTGTCAATTGCAGAATGCACTCACTTGTTCGAAACAGTGAGTCACTGCTTGACCTTTGCAGTGGTTCTCTATCAGCAGCAGGGCTTCGAGATGATGATTTAGGGTCCAGATCAAAGCTGTCAGCCCTGGCTTCCATCTCTCCCTTCAGGTTAAACCAACTTGCCTTCACCTACGGTAAAGTACAAACACATGGAAATGATTGTTGGAAGTCAGTACTAATGCTGTGCCCAATGACCTAGAAACAGATGGAATCTGATCAGATTTCTCTAGGTTGTTTTGTTGTGAAGCATCTGAACAAATTCTAATCTGTTTCTTTCTTATAATAGTTCTGCTGTAATTGTGCAAAAAAGCCTGCAATCTTGCCTCAAATTCTAATTGAACTCATTTGATGTGCAACATTTTCAAGACTCTGCAAGAATGAGAGCAATACAAAATGCCTGTTCCACTGAATAAATTACTTACCAAGTTCGCTGACCATTTTATTTTCCAGTAATCAGAATGAATTGTTATTTGATCAACTCAGAGTAATTATAAAGCGTTCATTAATCCTTTGGATTACATCATTAATCAATTATACAGCATGCACAAATTGCTGAGGTCTACCATGGCATCTGCCATTATTGGGATATTCTTTACTATTCACTAATTTATAGTAATTAATATTCATCACTGTTAATATGAAATTATATGATCAATATATTATTTAGAGAATAATAAATGCCCTTGAATAATGACAAAGCAGTAATCTGGATCACTGTAGGTTCATTTAAACGAACATCAAGTGTGAAGTCCCTTTATATACCTGCCTTAGCATTTTGTATATAAAATAACAGTATTCTATTGCCAATAGAACTCCAAATCAAATTATACTTTGTATAATTCATCAGCGAATAGTGACTAGTGCACACTTAAATGCACTTGATCTAATGCAGCTCTTTTTGATTTAAATGAACATAGAACGGAAAGATTCATGGCCATCAGCTCTGAACATAATATTTCTCATCCTACACCCAAAGTTAAGCCAGATTAGTGGAAGACCTGGGCTACTAATATCATAAAGTTATTTTCCAAAAATTAGCTGCGGCTGCTTGTGCGTAAACAAATAAGATTTAAAAAATTAGTTTTAAAAGCTGGCAAAAGAATTCCAACATTTCCTGAATAATTAAAGGTCAGGTTAATTCTTTTGAATTGGCTCATAACTTTGAATGTTGGCTGAAACCAGCTCTTCCATTCCCAGGAATAGATCCACATTCATACACCTCAGGAGCTGTGTGGGTCAAACATTGCTCTGAGAGTTGAAAAATGCTAAAGACTATTGATTGACAGCCTTGTGCAATGGTTTCCTGACTGTTCTTGTGGTTGACCTTCTTATGCTGTTCTTGGAACTTCAAACACTTTCCGAATGTCTTCAAGGTCAAGTTCTCTCCAAGAATCACTGATTAGGTCATATCAGCTTTGTATGCTATTTGGCACAGAAGTTTTCGGTTCCTCTGCTTTCCAACTACACTGCTTGACATTGCGGGGAAGCCTCAGACAAGTGGCTAAGTACCTTCTGTGTCACGTATGGAGTGCGGTTGGAGGGGGGGAGAGTAGAATTGTGGTTATTGCCTTTGTTCAGAGAGATGCTAAGCTAGTGACAGAGGATAACTATCAAGCTGACTTAAAATATGTGCTTAGTTTTACATGTTATTGGGCCAGATGTAAGTTGAAGATGTACCGCCAACTCTGAAGCCTGGGAGCAGATCTATAACACAACTGATGGGATTGAATCAATAAAGGATGATGCAACCATTGATTTCTTTTGTGGTGGAGGTCATAAATAAACTGAAGTTGGATCCATCTCGCTATGAAATGAGTACTTGTTAAAGTAACTGAAGAAAGAACAATTAGTTGACAGCAGAATATCTTAAAGATGTGTCTGTCCCCTCTATAGAGGCACTGGGAGCTGCTGCCAATTCAGATCATGGTGAAGCACATGAATTGACTGAGAGGGTCATTTGGGAGATTCAGGCAATAACAGTAGAACACATTCATTCATAAGGATTCATGGCTCGGAGTATAGATCCTAAATCATTCTTTCACCGGCTGAAGTCCCCCATCCATCATGGGTGAATGGTGTCCTCTGGAGTTTTGCACAAGAAAGATGAATTAGTTGTCCTGCAACAGACCTATAACAGTATCCTTGGGGTCTGGAGCAAGCATTGCACTCATCTGGTGCTCATTCTGACAGAATATAGTTGGTGAGCCAGTGAAATGCGTGTGAGCAGGTGGAAGACCTTAATCACCCTGTTTGCATGGAAGAAGTGGATTCCACGCCTCATCTCCTGTCTAATATTTAAGGTGTTAGGAGCACAGGAAAACAAGAAAAAGAGATGGTCACTCAGCCCACCAAGTCTGCTCCACCGAGCAGATCTTTTCAATAGTACCTCACAGAATACCAACTTTTTCATGTTACATGGAGGATGGGTCAATGCAATGCCTGCAGAAGTGAAAGTTGAAAGACATTCGGCTCATCCTTCCTATGTCGGCTTCAACTTCAGTAATTATGTGTGTGGGATACATACCTTATTCAAATGCCGAAGTTCCCAGTTGCATAATGGTGCAGAGACAATATAAATAAGAAGTCTTTGGACAAAGATCCCTGGTTGGGGTGCACCAGCCAAAACACAACAGGGCAATTGATGCTTCCTTGATAAACGTTATCAGTATGAGATCAATCCATTCTTTTCCCAGTCTTGATTTTTCTTATGTTTTGCAATGTTCTCCCTTTTTTAGCTGGATAGTGTCCCATGACTGCTAGTATCTCACCCAGATGGTCATTTTTCACATTTGAGCCCAGACAATGAGGGTTGAAAAGCAATCCTCTATCCTCAAACATACTTGTCACCTGCATTTATATAACACTGGCCAGAGTTTGAGTGGCACCTAAACCAATTAGGCCACCAAAGGAGCTGGTAAGGGGTTTTAACCATACCTCTGTCAATGACATTGCTGGTGCCTCACAGACACGTTCTAGGATTTATTGCAATAATTGCCAATACTGTCAGAATAATTCCAATAAGTCATTCTAACAGTATTTTAAGTCTTATCCTTATAACTGGACACAAAATGCTCACTGTGTTTATATTCTGATCACTATACGATCGTAAAATAGATATGAGGTCCAAAATTTCATCTGCAAGACCATTTCTTCTTTTTTTATTCCTTCTCTCTTGTTTTCCCTCTTTCAGGTCAAGCAAAATTCATAAATTAAAGTTGTAATTTGGAGATGGCTTCAAAAATAAGACTGAATTTAAGAATTTTCCACAATTCTGCATCATCTTAAATTTTAAGACAAAGTTGTCATAAAGAATAGGGCTTGGTGGAATTTCAGGTCTGTGTTCAAAGAAAATTTAGTTGTTTTAAAAAACAAACAAAAATTAACAAACATCTTACATTCACAGTGATAAAGAATAGCAAATATAATGTGAACTTCTCTGACAGAATCTCACAGGATCCAATTCATTATGTTGAATTATATGTTCCATTGAACTATTTAGGCCTGAAGGGTTTAATTGTGCATCAAAAAATGATCCACTGTGATGTGTCATGAAAAACATATTTACTATTTCAGCTACTTCATGTACTTAATTATGCCAGTAAATTGTTGGAGATGAAATGGTATATCTTTGCTGCAGTATATTCAAATTAGCTGAATTTTGTTTGAAGGCCTGGTGTGTTTAACATGATTAATGGAAAATTCTCTCCTTAGGGAAATTGGAACTCGTGGACCTGGTATATTTTGCTTTTTTTGAGAATAATTCCAAGCTTGCATGCTTATAACAATAACAATAACAACACCACCTGTATATAACACTCTTCACATTTTACAGATATGATGGAACGAGGGAGACCGAGGATGAGTGCATTTCAAAAATTCAGGAAATAATGAAGGTGTGAATAAATGTGTTGTCAATATTTATTGTGACATGGGGCAGAGGTGGACGATGTGGTGACAAAAAGTAGTCTTGGTGAGAGTCTTATGTGAGGCAGAAAGGAAATTGGAGATTGAACAAGATGCAAGCTTGTGCTCTTGTTCAGTGTGGCTTAGTGTGCTTAATGGCCCTCTGTTAATCCTATGTTACTACATAACTTTTACTGTGAATGCTCATACTCTTATTTCTTTTGGCTAACTGGGTGTCTGACACATGCGGAAACCCATCACGATGCTTAAGTATCCAATAGTTCCACATCTGTATGCCACCTACACCTGGAAATTTCGCTGTGTCTGGAATAACACTCTCCCTGAAGGCACGTACCCTGCTTATCTAATACCGAAAAGTATTAGGCACAGATTGGTGAGTGACAGGGCTTGGGGACCCAAAAGTGTGAATAGGGTTACTGCTGGAGTTTAAGGACAGTGTATCCCGTCAAGGCTTTGGCTTGCAGGGTTAGCAGTAGTTGAGTAGCAAGAATGTGGAGTCCACCACAATGGGTCGACCGACTTGCATTCTATCATCAAGCACATCATCCACCCCACTCTGGAAAAGATCTGTGATTTCATGGTCTTACCTTGTTGCCCTCTTGATCCCAATAAACATGACCTTCCTGCTCATCCTTGTCTTCCATCCACAATCCTCTGCTTCGCCAGTCACCTACTATAACATATTGCTGTTACTGTTAGAAACTGAGCTTGTCAGAATTCTGACTCCTATATTTCACTTTGCTGAACTGCTGATAAGAGATAGTACTCTTGTATAAATCCTCAATCCTTGTTGCAAATTAGTGCAGCCCTAAATAGTTGAACTGCAGGCTGATAAACTACATTTTTTTTGCAAAACTGACAATGTACAATGAATTGCTTTCAGTTCTTTGACAGATTATTTCTCTCAAACCTCTTGCTCATGAAATTAAGTTCTAGAGGCGGATTCTCTGACTCTTGATAAACCTGCGTGGGCAAGCTCTTCCGTTGCTTCATTAGTCAGTATATTTACCAGCATTGCTGATTTTCCCATTAGAACTTAATGGTTCTAAATCTCCTAAATCAATACATTTACTTACAGGAATCATTATTTGGTTTTATAGACCCCAATACCTGTCTCATGTTCCAGAAAGAGATTAAAACAGTAATTTGTTGGGGGTTGGGGGAATGACATTTGTGCATTGTGCAATTATTCCAAATGTTAGAATAAGTATTAAAATGATCGCTCCAATGGGATTGCATCCTAACAGAGGTATTCCATTGAAAATGTTGCAAAAAAAAGCCTTAGGGGTGACAAGAATTTGCTGTCAAAAGGAAAGTTTCTTCTGCTGACAAAATAATGTACTAGAAAAGATGAGTCCATTGCAAAAGAATATCCTATGTTTACTGAGATTTTCCATTGGGCTTAAATGGGTATTAAATATTCTGTCCTAAACGTTTTTGTAGTAGGTTTTTTTTTAAAAAAATCTTTACACAAATGACTGCGATGTGTTGGGACAGATGAATGTTTCCTTCAGTTTGGTTTCCCCAATTGGAGGAAATCCTGGCACTGATTCCGCTCTGTTTTGTGGTCAGGAATAGTTACTGTGCACTTAACATTCATGATTGTTGACAAGAGAGCCAGACAGCCCAGCCACGGCATGTAACGGAGCTGCTCTGAGCAGCCTGTTCTAACTAAAATCTCTCCTTGTTAGGAACAGGTGCAACTGGATTGCTGGGTCTGAATCCACACATTGGGACTCGGGGTTCTCACATTTCTTAAAGGAGTCGATCCCCCCTCGTGACCCCTAATCAGCCCCCGCAAGAATATTTTTCACCCGCCGCCTATGCCTTCAAGGCTCATGCTATCCCTTACAAAATGCCCAGAATCAATCTTTACACTACATCCTGTGAAACACTTTGAAATCCCTCGACAACGTGGTGAGGCGCTATATCAAATGCAAGCATTATTATGTGATGTGTCTGATTCATGATAACAATCGTGAAAATAAGCCAGCAAGATAGGAATCCAGAATGAATGAAAACACCTTTTGAGAAAAGGCCCATCAGACCATCAAGCCCACCACCTGCTCAGTGCACAACAAATTACAGATATCATTCCACTCTTTCTCCTGGAGGAAGCTCAAGCTTTACCAATGAGCTTAAGTGAGGAGAATGGGAAGACTAAGTGCACCTTGATACAATACAAATTTACATATTTATTATAGTGCCTTTCACATTTGGAGGTCATCCCAAGGTGCTGGACAGTCCAAGGTTTGCACCTGAGCATGAGGTAGTCAGGGGCGAGGGGATTGAGATTTGGGGGAATGGTCAAAAATGGGATCAAAGAGAACGATCTTGAGATGGACTTTGAAGGAAGTGAGAGAAAACATGAATGCTTGATCATTTCCTGGATAGGCAGGGAAGAAATAATAGAGTAATATAGAATCTTACAGCACAGAAGGAGACCATTTGGCCAATCATGCCTGTGCTGGCTCTTGGAAAGAGCTACTAACTAGTCCCACTCCCCCGCTTTTACCCCATAGCCCTGCAAATTTTTCCTTTTCAGGTACCTATCCAATTCCCTTTTGAAAACTGCTGTTGAATCTGCCTCCACCATCCTTTCAGGGAGTGCATTCCAGATTGTAACAACTCTCTTGGTAAAAAAATGTCTCCTTGTCTCCCCTCTGGGTCTTTAGCAATTATAATAAATCTATGTCCTCTGATTACCGACCTAGCCACCAGAGGAAACTGTTTCTCCCTATATACTCTAACATCCACGCAAGAAGATGTGTGTCCTCTGCCACTGCTTATGGACGTTATGCTGATTCGACTCTACTTAATTCTTAAATTCACAGGCTCCAACCCTATGATTGCCAACAATTGGCCCTGCAGTCTAATAATTCGCCCCAAACTAAACTGAACTATTCACTAAAATGTAACCAGACAATAAGTGGAATTAAATAACCACTAATTGCTGATTTAGCTTTCCAAACACAAGCCTGCAAATAAAAGATAAACAATAAAAAAACTGAAATTATATTGCAGAATTTAGATATAAGCATATTTCAAAGTGTCTTACAATGGGTGAGATGGACACTGATCAAGCAATGGAAATAAGTTAGAAATGGCCAAGGGTTGACCTGAAAGCAAGGAGAGTGATTTTGGAAGTAAGGTCCAGAGAAAAGGGATGTGAAGGTGGGGTGGGAAACTCAGCCTCTGAGGATGGAGTGATCTTCCACGAAGAACGAGTGGGTGTCTGTCATGCAGAATAACGCGACGATGTGCTGATGAAGCACATTCATTTGTGTTCTCCAAAACAAAATTAATCTGCTTGGAGAACACAGATGAATTTTTACATGTAATTTTGTGCACAGGACAAGAGCATTAAACCAACATGCAGCCGCTTAACACAACATAGAGTTCGCTGAACAGACCAAAATTGAAAAATGAGGAAATGCTCAAAATTAGATGCGCACAACTACTGGGCTGTATTTATCTCAGTTCAAATTCCATTACTCACCAGTGTTGCCACATTCAAATTGATTACTGATGTAGTGCCACACTGTGCAAGGACATATTTAATAACATTGTTAATGGATGTATTGCTCTCAGCCAGTCAGATCAAATGTAAATGCAAACATTATTATTTTGAGACTGACATTATATAATGACTTGAGTATAACGTGATATTTCTTAATGGAATTCCTTAATAAGAAAACCCAAGTCAGGCAAATGGGATCTCCTTAAGTGCCTGGCAGATGCCATATGACCAATGAAAACTTAGGTGTCAGCCTGGCTAGGTTGTAGCACTCTCGCCTCTGAGTCAGAAGTTGTTGGTTCCAGCCCCAAATTAGGACTTTGAACTCACGGTGAAACTCCAATGCAAGGGTAAAGGCACACTGCATTGTCAGAGGTCAATGCTTCAGCAGAGATGTTATACCACAGTCTTGTCTGCTTGTTCAGTTAGCTGTTAAGAATCCCACAACACTATTGGAAAAGAGAAGAAAGTTTCTCTTCGTGTCCTGGCCAACAATCTCCCAGATCAAACTGCGAATTTGCGTCATGGCTATTTGTGCGACATTTCTGAGCACAAATTTGCTATGATACTGACCTACAAAAAAATAGTGATTACACTTCACAGCAAAAACATCCTGTGAAGCACTATGAGATGTTTCGTCAATGTGATAAGGAGCCATATCAAATACAAGGATTTTTTTTCCTCTCTCCCATATGATCTACTTCCAAAGTGGAGTTTTTGTGGGTCGATGGATATTGAAACAGGATTTCTTTTTGCGGTTTTCCATTAAGAAATACTGTAAATTCGATCCCACAGTATATATTGCGACAGTACAATAACAAGGCTGCACAAAGGTTAAAGTGAAGCATATTCCAGTAGGATGTTAGGTGGATGAAACTCGTTAGTTAGTGTTATGATGCTAAATTCCACTTCCTTTTTTATATTTTAAAAGATTAATTGTCGATGATTTAGCAGCGAGGTTGTGAGGAAGAAGAGAGCAAAACAAAATAAGGTCAAATCTCTAACATAGTTATAAAAAAATTGTTCTCTACACTGGCATTGGTTCATTCAGTTCAGTCTGTAGGGAACAAACATGACCTGGAGATGACACTTTTCTGTGTTTTCTCTGTGATATAATTTTCTTTCGACATGTTTCTGGCAGCATAATTGGTTTAGAACAAGGCATGTAGAATAATTATAGTGACACTAAACTACATTAAAATCAAGAGAACCTGAAGCGGAACGAATTAAACAAGAAATGGTTTATAATTTAAAGGAGAATGTAAGTGTGCAAAGACTCAGCTCTTAAACTAGGATGATGAAAAGTTGAGATAACTGCTAATTGTTCAGACTCATTAAGACATTAGAAGAACATGCACAGAAGTATTGAAGCATGAAATGAGCAGTCTGTACCATGCTGCCTGTAGACAGGGGGTTTTCTATAGATGTTATCTGCTCTCCCATCAGTTTCTGAAGACAGAAAAAGAAAAAAGTAAAGAATGTTCAGTATGTAGCATTCCAGCTTGTTAAAATAAAATATGCACCAAGACTCATAGGACTAAGCTGAATGTCAGAATCTGCCTGCAAACAAACCAAGGTAATAATAAATCACAGCCCATGACTCAGAAAAATGTTTGCATTAAAATAACATATATTTCAAGTGACATTGGAAACTATCAGTCAGCCTTGTCATCACAGGTTTCACTTATAGACCTGTGATGACTCAGGTCAGAGGAGGACATCATTGATTGACATGTTTGGTCACTTGGTCAGGCTTTCAGAAGCCTGGACTGCGCAGAAATACATGAACACTGGGTAAACCTATTTACTCTTCACTAATTGGTGGCAGAACATTTATATCAGACACAACAGCAGATCTGAATGTGAACTTTGATTGAAATAAAGTGGTCTCTTATCCTAGCAGGGACAAGAAGCCAACTTTATTTTAAAAATTGGCCTCCTCGGCTGGCTTATGGATAAATATGATGCGGTGTCTGAGCCATGCAGAACAGGATATTCTCTCTTCTGAGCTAATTTATCCACAGTATATAACATACATGAATGACAACAACTTTCATGAGTTATTGTAGAGCTGCCAGAATTGGTGGATCTGTACCTTCAGGGGCAAATGTGGAAAATGTTTTTTCTGGCACTCTACCTTAGTCTTCAAAATGCTATTATTGTCACATAACGTAGCTCTTTCGGAAGGAAAATCCACTGTGACATTCACCAAATGGCAACAAGTAGAATACATGTGACCACTTATTACTTTTATTAGCATTTTACAACAAGGTATAAATCGCACCACAACCTTGCATTGCATTCAGATCCCAATGTTGGTAGAAACGACAATAAAAATAAGGCCCATTGAAGGACACTCTGATAATGGAGCAACCACAGTGCAAAAATCCATTTGGTTAATTTAACACATTAAAAGCTACCATATTTGACCTTTCTCTCCCTTTGGCATGATCACCCAGATCTTCAATCATGCTGTTGTTAACGCTCTGAATGCATTCTTGTGACAGGTGTGAAAGCAATGAGAAAAGGAGCAGTTCAATTTATTTTATTTATATTTATAAGTGTGCACTTTGTTCATACCACTCAGAGGCAGAAGGCTATGTGGCAGTGAATTCTCTTATAAAAATTCGAAGTCATTTATTAGCGGCCACAGTTTATGAAGGCAGCTACTGCAACAGAATATAATGATGGGAATTATAATGTATATTACTAGAATTAAAAAACACAATTAGGTCAATAAAATTGCTATTGTACATTTATAGCAACATTTAGTCTTGCCTCCATGGAGTACACTGTTCCACAAGGTGCTATTTCTGTTGTTTACTTCTTTCTGTTCAGCAATAAAGCACAAGATGGAATTTAACTTTCAAATCTTTCTCTGTCAGGAGCTTTTATACAGCCTATACCCTTCCTTACCCAGAAATATGTCTCCAGGTGAATTTCTTAAAAGAAATTTGGCCAAATTACACTGTATTTGGCGGGCGGGTCAGAGCCCGAGAGAGTATGACATTGACACCAAAAGTGCAGTATAAAGCAGCATAACTAAGTAAATACACAAAACAGATCCCCTGCAGGAAGTATAATGTAGGAATATGATGCTACACCATATAAGTAAGGTCAAATTGCAGCTCCAGATATGATTGAAGTAGCACTTAGACTTGAAGACAAGTCTGTAAATTTGTATCAGTGATCCCAGAGAAAATATATTTACATTTTTTCTTAAACATGTTGAAAACAGAAAGGTTTTGACATTTTCCCAAACAAATACATTTCCCTCATCATGAACCAGTTTTTCAAAGTCTTGTGTTGTACTTTGTGACATTTCAAGAACATTGCATATCAGATAACGGGCCATTTCATCTTGCTTAGCTGAAGTCATGTCTGAGCACAAGAAGACATAAAAAGCTCATGGGTGGGTGGAAATAAGAGAATGCAGATGTAGATTCAAATGATAGCCACGAACGTAGGAGATTGCAGTCATGTAAACAGAGGCTTAATCAAGCTATTTATGGAATTAATAACTGCCGCTGATTGCAAGGTATTAATGCAACTGAGGAGTAATGAGCTCCTAAGCAAAGAGCAAGGCATTTTCATCCAATGGTTATCTTAACTCTCAGCCTTGATATAACTTCTTAATAGTTGCAACATTCCAATTCATGACCAGACTGCGTCTGCAATTCACAGTTTTTCCAAGTACAGGTCTTCATTGTGGGATTTCCTCTAAACTTCTGTGCACAAATAAACCAAAGTATTGGAAAAATTGTGATCCATGTTGTGCAAGGAAAGTTACCAAAGTAGGAAAACATACAAGTGTTATATGTAAACATTTGTAGCCATGATATGTTTCTTTTGCCTTTGATTCTCTCCTGTCTCTAAGTTTCTCCTCTTTATTTTTTGTATTTTTCTCTCTCACATTCCTGAATATTTCCTCTCTCTCTCCTTTGCTTCTTACCTCCCTTACTTCAAACTAGTGATTATACTGCCCCCCCCCCCCCCCCCCCCCCCCCCCCCCCCCCCCCCCCCCCCCCCCCCCCCCCCCCCCCCCCCCCCCCCCCCCCCCCCCCCCCCCCCCCCCCCCCCCCCCCCCCCCCCCCCCCCCCCCCCCCCCCCCCCCCCCCCCCCCCCCCCCCCCCCCCCCCCCCCCCCCCCCCCCCCCCCCCCCCCCCCCCCCCCCCCCCCCCCCCCCCCCCCCTTCCTAGTGAACGGGGGGGGGGGAAACATTCTACAATTCAATGAATTGCCCAGAAATTGTGGGTTAATGTGCAATCTTCCATCAGTGGGTCTGCATTGAATGAACACATTTTACTTTCAGCAGTGTGCCCAAAGGGATTCTTATTAACTTGCTTACATCAACAAAATTGTAAATCGTTAAGTACTGTGTGGTAAATGAATTCAAATGAAATACATACAGGACACTGGGAGCACTGCTCCTGATAAACGTCGGTATATTGGATGGAAGCAAATTAAATCTGAAACTGAAGTGTTTAACTAAACTATCTTTTTTTGGTCAGCCAGGTGTTTGACACATTTGGAAACCCATCACCATGCTTAAGAGTAACCAATCCAAGCTGAGATTTCCATGCATCCCACCTACTCATGGAAATCTCATCATGAAGGGATGTGTCCTACTTACCTAATTCCAAAGTTCCAGGCGCAGGTGGGCAAGAGTCAAGGCTTGGGAGATCCAGAGTGTGTGCTGGGGTACTGCTGGAGTCTAACCAGCTAAAACTTTGATATTACTTGCCATTGATATTACTGTCTGGTAAGCTTTCCCGCTGCCTGTCCAGCTAGCACCACCCTACCAGTTAGGGCTTTGGCTTGCAGGGTTAACAGGAGCTGAGTGGGATGACTCCCTGCCCCCAGTGACTGGTCTGCCCTTCTAGGTCCTGCCGATGAGCCAGACTAGCTGTGCTGTCATCAGTAGTGCCTGGAATACTGCGGATCCCTCTGGTTCAGGAACCGGAATACCGAGACTGCCATAGGGAGCTGGCTCGACTCCGACATTCTGTTCCCAGGCATGTTACCTTGGAGCCAGTTAGCTCCCAGGAGACCCAGCTTAGCTAAATTACAATCCACTTGTTTTCTAAAGCTCTGTTTATATGGAAATTCTGAAACAGATGAGAACTTAATGTTCCTCTAACAGATATACAAAGGACCATAAAAATGCCTGTTGCTATTTGAATCTGACATTAACACCCAAGAAATAGTCTTAGTCTGTAAGAAAATCAGATCATCTTTGCTTTGGAATGCAAGATTACAATAACCTGTTACATACTTATTGTAGACAATGAGGTATAAATTTGTAACAAAGCCATTAGTAATAGCTCTATGTCACAAATAAAATAGTCTCTGGTAGCCAGAAGTCTCTCCTGCCCACAGGTAGGCGGTTCTGTAAGGTGATTGTGCTGGAGAAAAATTCCTGTGTGTAGGCATGATTTGTTATTATGAGTTGTTATTTTTTACTCAAAGTGATATTGCCACCTCCATTACGAACTGCTGAAATTCAGACCCCAATCCCAAAAATGGTCTTCAAACACTTTTGATGGCAACTCTATAGTACAGCTCTAAAGCAATCCGGTCAACATTAGCATTTCAGTGGGAGAGAGTCTTTGCAGAGCTCACTGTACTCTGAAGTAAGAGGCCAAAGTTTGAAGGAAGCAAAGAACTTACAAGCAAAAACCAGCAGAGCGCATGCAGTTCCTACCTGGTACATGGAAATGTCTAGGAGCCTGGATATAGGATTTGCTGTCTAGCTGCAGGGATAAGCTGGGAGTGCTCCGACCGCTTTCACTGCCTCCAAAGAGAAAAGCAAAGAAGATAGAGAAAAGAAAACGGGAAGCAGAATAAGATAGTTACATGCTCAATGCTGAAGTAAAAGTATATAATGCCATAGCATGTTTCAAACAATAGATTAATAGAAGAGTATTAATAAGCCATAAAGCCATATCTGGGCTTTCAAGTGCACGTTTGACAAGAAAATATACCATTTACTAATGGAATGCAGAGCTCCCTCAACCAGACTGACCTTTTCATTAATTGCTGGAATAATGAGGAAACGTTGCATTGCTTTAAATCCCTTAGAATTGGGACTGAAGGTTTAAAATAATAATTTCTTCAATCTTCCCACCTGCCACTAGCAAAAGACTGGCTGACACAGAGATCAGTCAAAGAGAAGCAACAAGCTTTTCCAGGTCTGAGTGAAATTTTGGTTGGAACACAATTTATTTTCAGCAGTATATTTTCTTAGAGAAATAAACTGAGCAGAAAGGAGGGGACTGCTTGAGCATTTATTTTTACGTTTAAAAATGAAATTCTGATATTTTATGGCATTATATAAAGTTATAATAAGCAAAATAATTCATTATTAGCAAAGAATTGGTTGTCTGCTTCGTCGTTTGAACAAATTGAGGAGTGCATTATTGACCAATAATTCAGACCTGTTTTTGTTTCAGATTTCCAGCATCTGTGGTATTTTGCGTTTTGTTAATAAATCAGATCTTTCTGATGCAGGACCACCTCAGGATTTGAAGCCAGCCTAAAAGAATTCTGCAAACAATCTTAAAGTTGCACAAAAATATTTAAATGTTCTTGTCTGTTTTCCAACAGTTTGGTCGATGGGTTGATTTCAAACTAACGCACTGTTGAGTGAGGCACTACGGCTCTTCCATTGGTCTATTTGCTACAGCCATATAGACCAGAAAAACATTGCAGATTTGAATCCTCCGGTCTTGTGTTGATCTAGCTCATATCAGGCAGGACAACAGTTGGGATTTGGCACCAGACCTCCAACATTTTTCAAGCAACGTATTTTGCAAAAGGGAAGGAATGCCAATAATTGTCAATGCTTAAGTTACAGGGTTCACCACCATTTCTTCCTCTACAGATGTTACTTTTTTGCATTGCCAAATAAAAGATTGAAGGCATAATAATATTCAGTGGAAGAAGTTATGGTTTTTATCAACTGATAGATGTTATGTTATAGTATTTAATGTAAAGTCCATTTCATGCCAAGAAGAAATTCTCCTACATAATTCATGATGGAATTCATCCAAGAGTGCAATCAGTATCTTTTTGACACAGTGATGAAAAGCAATAGTGTCATGAAAATTGTAGAGAAGGGTTAGGATTTGGGCCCACACAGCAAATGATTTCCCTGGAGTGGTCTGAATATTTTTTTAAAATTAGTTGTGTTTTGCGATCGCATTGCCTATTCATCTCCATTATGAATCTGTATTGCAATTCTAACGGCAAATACTGTGCATCAGAGTAGCTGAATTACAGGTATAAGAGGACAGCATTTTGCCTTGATTTCATTGCAACAACAACTTGCATTTATATAGCGCCCTCAATGCCGTGTGGCATCCCAGAGTGCTTAATAATGGTGGAGCTTGATGCCGAGCCAGGGGGAGGGGGAAGGTGACTATAAGCATGGTTGAAGAGGAAGGTCTTCAGGCACGACCTGAAAATGGGAAGGGGGCAAGGCGAAGGGATTGAGGGAGGGAGTTCCATTGCTTTGGGCGTAGTGGCTGAAGGCACGGCTGCCAATGGTGGAGCAGAGGATTCGAGGGACAAGGAGGTGACCGGTAGTGCGGAGGCAGCAGGTAGTGAGTTCTATGAGGAGAGAGGTTGGAGAGGGATGCCAAGGTGTGGAGGGATTTAAACACTAGAGTAAGGATCTTGAAGTCGATCTGCTCTGTGACAGGGAGCCAGAGGAGTTTGGCAATGACTGGGGTAATCGAGGTGCAGAGTTTAGTGGGGGTGAGAATGCAAGCAGCAGAGTTTTGGATGAGTTGAATTTTGTGAATAGTGGAGGAGGGGAGACCAGCGAGGAGGGCTTTAGAGTAGTCCAGTCAAGAGGTGACAAAGGCATGGACAAGGGTTTCGGCAGCTTGTGGAGTGAGCTATGTTGGATTCGGGTAATGTGGCGGTGGTGGAGTAAAGTAGTCCTGGTCAGGGACCGGATGTGGGGGAGCACATCTGCCACTAAGAATCAAGCTTTATTTTCTTCACTCTACTTTCAATTTGATGTAGCTTTATAAAGAAAGCATTGCTTTGAAGGGTCAACTCCAAAGTATGCTCAGGATCTTCATTTTTTGTTACTTTTAACTTCTCGGGGTGCCACAGGCAAGTTTAGAAAGTGAAAGTCATATCTACAGCAATATATAAACCTATAACAAGCAAATTAGAGTACTGATTGATAAATACTCAATTGGCCTGTAGTGCCTTTTCATAAATAAATGAAAAAATTCATAAATAAATGAGCAAATTATGAAAAAACCAACAATTTTTTTTGATACATTATTGCTTCAGTATTTGACGCCAACTTAGATTGGTGCTGCAAGGTATTATAATGTTGTATATGATTGTGGGAATCAAAAAAGGCTGAAACATTTGCCCCACTTCCTCTTTTAGACAAGAAAAAACATTAGTGATTGATCAAACTGCCTTTACAGATTCCGACCCAGAGCCCTTCCAACTCGCTCCCTCTCTCATCTCTTTCAAGGTCCATTACAAGACCTACAATTGTGTCTTCGGTCATCTTTCCCCTCCACACCTACCTTCAACTCCCACCCCCAGCTCGGATGCAAAGCCAAGACTGTTAAGCACCTTGGGAAATTCTCCCAGTGTGAAAGACACTATACAAAAAGTGAATTTGTTATTGTAATTATCAACCAAACTGAGCCACTGAAAATTCCTAATTTTTTAGTATTCGAAAGTGGTCAATGTGAGATGGATGTTTAAAGGAGTTTTTTTTATATGTGTTGAATATGCAAAAAACATTACTAAATTGGTAAACAAAATACATTTTAAAAAGCAGAAGAAAAAAAGTAAAATGTGAGATCAGGGCGAGGAAAGGTGAAGTTTAACTTTTTTATTGTTATTTTAGTGTGTTCATAGTACAATAATAATTTCTTGCAAGTTTTGAGGTTTATTATTGTAATATTTTTTTCAGCATCTTAATACACAAGCTCAAAATTTTCCTCGACCTGTGAGTGAGTCTAGGCCTATTTTTAAGACAAAAAATAGGTTTTTCAGGCTGACTGGATAGAATTTTGGGTGTCTGAAGTCAACACCTTGTGCAGCTCTTGTGCATCTCCTAGTGGCTGTCTAAGGAGCTCCATTGGAGAGCACGTCTCCAGCACCATCTCACAACCTTGGAATGATATGTAGCAAAGTTGAGATTACAAGAGAGGAATATAGTAACATAAATATTTCTCAAGTTGTTGTGCAGATTAGAGGAAAACATTAATAATATTTATAGATAAGGTATCCAAAAGCCACTGCTATAGGCTGAAACACAGGGAAGATGTTCCTTGAAGATTGAATGAATGCCATAATAATAAATAATAATAATCCTTGCATTTGATATAGTGCTTTTCAGGTCTTCTAGACGTTTCAAAGCGCTTCACAGAATATACTGTAAAGTGAATTGACTGTATATTTGTGGGTGAAATGCGGCAGCCAATTGCACACAGCATTGTCCCACAAACAGTCATGGATTGAAATGACCAATGATATTATTATTCTTTTTTCTTGAGGGATTATTATCAGGCATGTGGAGTAAGGAAACTTGCCCAAGGTTTTGCCCTGCCGGGAATCAAACCCAGGTCTCTTGCTTACGAGGCAAGTGCTCTAACCACTGAGCTGCAGGACTCACTTTGTCAGTGTTGTCTTCACAAACATACAAATATAGGGAAAGACGTATTGCTGTTGACAGTTTCACAAATAATTACAGTATTTTATATATATTTTTCATATAATTTAAGATTAAAAAAAGGAAGAATCCATCTAGATGTATTACTGTGATATTCAACAGATATGTAATTAAAGGACTAACCATATGGTTTGACCAGTCTAATATATTCCAACTTTTACTGTTAGTCTGGGAGAAAAGGTGTTGAATATGAGCATTCTTTGAGAGCGAATAGTATTGGATGGCAAATTGTTTCACCAGTACACACACATACACATAGCCACACGTACATACACACATCTACCACAAGCTGCAACAATTCATGACCATAAGATCTTTCCTTAAAAGTAAAGGTTTTTACTTTCCTTTGGGATAGTCATCCTTACTGTTCACCGTGTTTATTATATCAAGTTTCCCGAAGCACAGTCCATTTTAATCAGTCTAATTCAAAACGTTTAACAATATGCTTTGAGACATTTTACTGAGGATCAGGTTATTTCTGCATTGATTTTGAAAATATCTTAAATCACTTTATCATTCCAAATCATTTCTGTTAGTCAAAGCTTTTCAAAGGTAAACATTCACAATTGAAGAACATAATTTTTCCTTAATAGATTTGTGTCAAGGGAATTGACTCCTAATAAAATGCTGCTGCCAGAACACATGACTAACATACTGCAAGTAAAATTCTCCTCAAATGTAATAATTAGACATGTAATGCTGCAAATTCACTCACATTCAGACCAGAAGACCACTTTTGAAGTCACACAACACCAATCACCACAGACACATAAAGACCATCAAGATTACCTTGATGTCAGCTTTTAGTATATGAGAGAAGTTTAACATTCTCTTCAAAACAAGAGATAATCGGGAAAAATTAAAAATGTATGTAGAGCCACTGCATTTTTGTAGTGTTACAGCACCAGGTTTATGGTTTGATAAATGAGCTGGAATGTGCTTGAGAAACTTATGAGGTTTTTATTGCAGCACATTAAATAAGGATGTAATAAGCAGTGATGGTACCTATTCGTTTGTCCTTTCTCTAAAGAACTATGATTTGAAGGCTTTTCACAATGCCAAACAATTGTCTATTAAAA